ATGGCGAAATCATGACCACGCCGTTTAGTCATTGAAATGTTCTTAATATGTAGTCTGATATTCTTCCTTAAGTTATCAACTTTTAAATATAGCTTTTTAATTCAATTAAAGTATCGTCAACACATGATTCATAACATAATTATATCATATAGAAATACCAGTTGGAATGGTTGGAACAATTCAAACCCAAGCATTTTTGTCTGTAATATAATAACACACTTTTTAATAAGCTTTCTTAACAAGTATTTTTTTAATTGTCGCTTTAAATTTAGTCAGGCTTAACTCTTGAATATTGTTTGGGACTTTATTGTAAAAGCGAACACAAGAGTTCTGTGGTCACGACCCCAAAATGTCGATGTCATTACCAAACCTGTATAGTGCCCCATACCTAACTGACGACCGCATGTAGACACGGTTAAAAACCGGCCCCTAGAGCCAGTTAGAAATCGTCTCTTTTGCAAGCGCCCTTAGTAGTAAAATTACTCACACCATTGCTTTGTCATAAACCCATTGCAATGCAATATTGAATTTTGCAATGGTTACCTTGAAATAGCATTTTCTCCGTTGCAACGCACAAGTATTATGTAAACTATAAAATTAAAGGGTTTATTTAGAAAATATCTAACACGAATTTTACAAAATTAATATTGTACATTGAGACACTTATCGGGTAATGCACACTAAGCAATTTAGAAGAAATTTTACTTGCTTACAAAAGAAAAATATTAAAACATACTTAATAAAAAGTTAACTTAGTAAGAACAATATAATATAATACCTTAGTAATAATATAAATATAAAAGAACTTCTAGTGGCACTTAAACATAAAGGAAAAAAGTTTAAATAAAAAATCAAAGTTTATTCGCCTGCATTCAATGACGTTATGAAATTGGTGTAATTTTGTTTTTCCTATGATGCATTTTTGGAATGAAGTTGCTCTTCGAAAACGGTACGATCCATGTATGTACGGACTTCGCGACGGCTACGCGAGAAAAGCGTAAGATTTTTCTCTCACAAACGTGTATTATTTCGTAGCGTAATATCATTGTTGTGTAAGTACTTATTTTTATTTTTAACTTCGTGCCAACCAAATGTTTCACGACACACATTTGCTTCTTTCTAATCTTCTTTATAACCTTACCAGGAGGCAGCAGGCGATTGTCCTCCTTGACGACAACAATATTCCCGACCATTCTGCAATTCGACAAGTCCATTTACGTTTATTGAAATTTTGTCGAAGTTTCTCTTATTTGAAAAAACAAACAACGTCTGAAACTCTGCACCATTATCTGTGTAAGATGCCAACGGTGTAAAGTACTGACATAGATACAGTATTGTGTGATAAAAATTTATTAAATGCTTGCTAACAATAAGTGTGCCAGTGTTAGGCTGCTTAAACATGTTATGGCCAAGCGAAGGCAAATACCAAAGTATAGACAGCACATTTGTCCTGCCTTGTCGGCACTCGCTTTCGCTCGCCAACATTTCTTTCACGTCGTCTATAATAATACCTGCTAGCGCACCAACGTATGGGCAGCTCCACAAAGCTCGTCTATATTGGCCACTTGCATTGATCTTCTTCAAACTTGCCCAACGTTTAGACTCTAGACGGTATCGATTGCCTTGTATCAGTTTGCTTACGCTCGCGTTGTGTGAAGCGGCCAGCATGGATTGGCAGCTTTAGAGGTGCAGAATCCAGCGGATGAGAACTATTAGTGACGTATTTGTGATAGATCTGTAGAAAATTATTTTTATGTCAGTGTGAAGTCACCGTTCACTTTGTTAAGTGATGCCTTCCACTCTTTACTCCTGCAACCCACAACCCTCCAAGGTGGGTGAGTTAGAAGGAAAAACTAAAAAGTTAAAAATAAGCTCACAAAGATATTGCAGTCGAAGGACCGTTCTGTTTAATACCTAGCTTTTAAATCTAAGATATCCTCATGACTTTTTGGAAACATTTATTCCTTTCTGTTATAAAGTCCTATTTTTTTTTGAAGGTAAAATTTGATGAAGTTATATTGTAAAGAAAATTTTACTAGAAAAAAATCCACGCAGTCCAGGCAGCAGACGGGACTCAAACCTACACCCTCAGCTATCCGGGCGGATGCATGTCCCGTCCCATCTGCTGGCTGGACCTCGACGAATTCTGTCTAGTGACATATTCTTAAGATTTAAATATCTAGCAGTTAAATGCTTAAAATAAAACTATACTTAATAAAGATTTTATACTAGTTTTTTTCTAAGTCCTCTGACTTTAAAATAATCAAGTTTTGGAGTGAATTGATACGAAAAGAGGGATTCTTTTTGGGTTGTGATGTGAGCAGCATAAAATGACTCACGTAGTTTAATTACACCAACAAATGTATTATTAGCAGAAAGACTTTACACCTCACGGCGCAATAAAATGTAGTTTTGATTTTCGTTTAAAAAAAATGATGCGACACACAATACAAAAAAATGTGTTGATAAACTCATACATTCTTAAACCTAAAGAAAATTTTACTATAAATATTAAACTTGTATCAAATACCAAATGGTAACGTTAACGAACTTGTGGTAGGAAATATAATACAAGTAAGTGCTTTTTATGTAAATAATAAAAAAATATCATAATAATAAACATTTACGATAGGTGTAAAACTATTGCTGTTCAATAATTTATGCGATCCGAATAAAATAGAAGTGTAAAAAGGTCATACATACACATATCAAAAAAAGTTTGAGGTCACTTGCTAAAAGCTGATATATTTTCAAAATTTAACTTTATCAAGAGAAAATGTTTACCTTATATCTTTTTTTATTAAAAAAATACACTTTGTGAAATTAAAAAATAAAACTAATTTTATTATTTAATATAAAAAATTAAATAATTTAATCCTAAGGCGATTGTAATACAACTTTGATAGAAATATAAAGATAGTTTAACCAAACTTAAAAACCTTTTGTTAATAAATTGTTGTTTATCTAATACAAAATAACTCCTCCTTTAGCCCGAACACATGCGGAGATCCTCCTGGGCATGCTGAGGATCAAGTTATCCAGCATTTCTTGTGGTAACCTGTCCCATTCTTGAACAGCAGCTACCCTGAGCTGCGGCACTGACAGGGGTGGTGGCTGCCGGTTCCAAACAGCTCGCTTAAGAGCATTCCACGCGTGCTCTATTGGGTTTAAGTCAGGAGACCCGGCAGGCCAGTCTAACCTTGTGATTTCGTATTCTCGGAGAGCAGCATTGACTCGTTGAGGTCGATGTGCGGGCGCGTTATCGTCAACCAGTACAAATTGGTTCCCATGTTTTACTCGAAAAGGTCTGACGTTTCCATCAATAGCGACTGTTGTATCTGGCTGCCCTCATGAAGCCTTAAAATGGGATTAAAAGCGTTCTAGCCCCAATCATAATACCACCCCAAAAGGACACTGATTTCCCGCCTTGCTGAACCGTTCCAGTGGCCGTTCTTTACCTTTCAGAGTCTCCAGGTCTTCTCCAAACACGGACACGTCGGTTATCTGGATGAGTACTGATTCGCGATTCGTCAACGAAGAGGCAGTTTTGCCAAATGTTTTCCTCTTCGTCTTCTTCGTTTTGCCGGCCACTTTGCTAGCCCACTGTAATCTCCGTCGCTGACGTTCCCGTGAATTCAAAGGTGCTCGCCAAGACCTCCGTGCTCGTAATCCAGCCTTGTGTAAGCAATTCCGAATGGTCTGAGTGCTAACTTCAAGTCCGGAGGCGGCCCGTATTTCTGCTTTAAATTTAGTGGCGTTTATTGTTGGATCACGGGCTACCAGCAACCTGATGTAGGTAGCGCTTCTGAGCAGCTGTCAAAACAGTTGGGCCACCGCTGCGGGGTCGATCAGCTAAATTACCCATGCTGTTGTACCTCTGCAACGTGGTTACTACACAGGATTGGGATATGGCAACTCTGCGTGCTATTTCCCTCGTAGAATAGCCTTCTTCCCTCAAAGTTACAATTCTGGCTCGTAAAACATCTGATACTGATTTTTTAAATCACAACTTTCCGTGAAAAAATATTTAAAATTCGATAATATTGACTAAATCAGATTTCTGAATGAGTATGGTTTTACATGTCTTTTTATATAGAAAAACAATTGAATTATTTTATTGTTTTCCGTTCTATTCTAATTTTATAATTTAAAATCTTATCAGAAAAAGAAATTACAAAAAAGTCTTCTGTAACACAAAAAACAATCTATTTTTAAAAGCAAACTTTTTTTGATATGTGTACTTACTATTACAATATTTCTGTCGTGGACTAAAAATAGTTTATTCACCCTATTCGGCGATAAGACAAATAATATATTGAACATTTTTGTTCTTATCCGCTTCATTCATTCATACTACGCCTTAGAGCATTTACCATTGGTACACATCATTAAAGACACATCATTGGTGTACGTTATTATTCATTGTCAGCAACAGTCGTATCAAACATTGTCAGCCAGTATGAGGGCGAAAAAATCTAATAATCCAATTTTTGGCACCCCCCTTAATAATAATTCTTTGTTACTTATTTTGGTGTATTGCGCAATTAGATTTTTAAACAAACTTTATATTTTCATTTTTACCAAAGTTACTAACTGAACTACAAATTGCTTATATTATGTATTTTAATAACCTTACAATTGTACGAATTTGAATAACTCCCTTTTTTAATCGGTGAAAAATATCAAACTATATATATTATCATGATATCGTAGTACGTCAATATAGATCAAAACAATGACATTTCCAAGAAAATCTTCATAACACATTACTCATATTCTTAGCAATTAATCATTAGTACACACAATACAAACAAGTAGTTACAGATAAAAACACCGAATTAATTCTGGACAAAATTTTAAAAATTGCATCTCTACATGTTACGTACAATGACCGAAGAGACCTTGACGTACAGTAAGACAGATATACTTTATTATATTTAGAACTACGCTCAATCATTATCAATCTGTAGTAGGTATGAGTTTATTCAAAGTGACAAGATGCAATAGACCAGTCGATCTTTACGGTTCGTACAGTACTAAGCTTGTATATAACCAAGTTGCACGCGTTTACGAACCAGTAGACACCTTACACCAAGCCGCTGTGATCCGTTCTCGGAGTTAACTCAATCAAGTGTGAATCAAATGTTGAATACAATGAAGAGCTTAATCGTCCACAGTGTTATATTACCATTATTACTCATCACACAATGCAGTGCTCGTGTCGTTTTAAACAACTACATGGCGGACAGAATACGCTTCCTCGAGGAAGAGAACAATTTACATCTAGGAAGCGCGCTAAAACTAACCGAAGAAGAAAAGAGAGCAAACGAAATCCTAATGTATTGGAAGAACAAAGAAATCGAAGAATCTTTCGGGAACTCCACAAGATTTAGACTGTCGAACCATTTCTTCTCATACAAAAAAGAAATAAGCAAATCTAAAGTGTATCAAATGATAAGGAGGATGCCAAAAGGCGCAGCGTTACATATACACGCTTCTATGATGCTAGATGCAGACAGTTTATTGGAATTGACATATGAGGACCACTTATACGCTTGCTTCGCGGACGACGGTCTAAAATTACACTTCTCGGGTACCGTACCCTCACAGTCGTGTCCTGTTAATTGGAACCTCCTCAAAGATCTGAGAGAAGCGTCCGATGACGTAGAACAATTTGATGCAGAGTTAAGAAAGCACTTTTCTCTGTATACTGAAGGCGATGATTTATTGAATGCTGATATTAATGACATTTGGGAGAAATTTAACAAGGTATACAGAACAACCAAATATTTAATCACATACAGACCGATCAGAGAGAAATATTTTTACAAAGCTTTGGAGAACTTTTACAATGACAATATTATGTATGTAGAAATAAGAAGCGGCTTACATAATATTTACGAGCTAGACGGCACGACGCATGACTCACTTTATCTCGCTCAACTGTACGAGAGAATAACAAAAAGATTTATAGAAGAGCATCCTGATTTTATTGGGATCAAATTAATTTTGACTACCGGACGTTGGAAGACTATAGAAGAGGTTCGGCATTCAATAGCAACTGCTAAAGAATTGAAGGCCATTATGCCAAATTTTTTCGCTGGGTTCGATTTGGTAGGACAAGAAGATAAAGGAAAACCACTCAAAGAATTTCTTCCCGCCTTGATTGAAGCAAAGAATGAAATAGACTTTTATTTCCATGGTGGTGAAACGAACTGGTTTGGAACGAGCAGTGATGAGAATTTAATTGATGCCGTGTTGTTGGGATCTAAGCGAGTGGGTCACGCGTACGCTCTGTTGAAGCATCCGACGCTGTTAGGGACCATAAACCTAAAAAACGTAGTGTTAGAAGTGAATGTGATATCAAATGTCGTTTTATCGTTAGTGAGAGACGTAAGAAATCACCCGTTGGCATCTTACTTGGCTTTGGGTTACCCAGTAGTGTTATCTAGTGATGATCCGGGAGCATGGGACGCTGATCCACTCTCCCATGATTTTTACGTCACCTTCGTTGGTGTTGCCAGTAAACACGCCGATTTGAGAATGCTCAAACAGTTGGCTTTAAATTCCATTCGTTACAGCGCTTTAGATGATGATGATGTAAGAAAAACAAGATTTTATGACGTTTTTAATGAGAAGTGGGATATCTTCGTGAAGAAAATTATAGAAAACGGTTTTTAATTCGTGTTTTATAAAAAAAATGTAAATAGTTTGTCAAAGATTATTATGTAAGTAGCCCAATTAAGTTTCTAATATACCTAACCTAGTATGCATATATAATATGAAAGACTGATGCTTTAATTGCTACATATTTTTTATTTATACTTAAACTGATATAAATTACCTATGTATAATTTGTATAAACCACTTATTTACACGATTATATTACAATTATGGTTATTTCACAAATTGCTATATTATGTGACATTAAAATCACACTTTTGACTAGTTTTTACAAATATTATTTTTTAACAATTAACTGATTTCATTTTAAGAGTACATTATTATATGATGTTACCATTACCATTACAAGGTCTTGACAATAAAAAAAAGTTCATCTATCTCTTTAAATAAACTCGTCAATAATGTCTAAAAAAATATCAAGTTGGTTCTTCACAAATAAAATTCATAATCGATTTTAAATAAAAAAAAATCCAGTTGCCTAGATTAGCTTTTTACTTTAACCACCTTTAATGGCATAGTTTTTGTAAAAAACAAAGAATATTTTCAAGTTTCGGGAAATTAACCCAAGTGTCCCAAATTAACGACGGTATTAATTACATGCATAGTATGCATGATGACCATCGAGACTTATTATATTAATCACAAACACTTTTTAATTAGCTAATTACATCAATGTTTGTGTGAGACTGATGCCCGCGCTAGGTAAGATATGCATGTACCTGTGTTACAGGTCATCAAGATACTGAATCTTTGAAAAATCAGATTCTGCCATCATTGATTTATTGCATCGATAATATTTTTTTATTTATTACTTATTGACCATTGCATAGCATTGTACATTACATTTGACAAATCATAGTTTTACAAATTAAAATTAGTTACACCTAGTGATATAAAAAATATTCATTTTTAATAAGTACCTATAATAATTACATTAAAATTGGTAAAATTTCAATAGTTACGTAACCAACGTATCTTCGTAGGTACAAATACGACACGTGTGGTCGTACAATCTCATAAATCTCGGGGCATTCCCACTTGACACCAATTAGATGCAACACCTAATGGTTGCCCTGAAAACATGTGGTGATGTGTGAAGAGATCTTAATTAGTAACAGTCGCGACGTACAAAAGTCATACTATCTCCTGATTCATTAGCTTTTTAGAAATCGAAAAAAAAAGAGTTAGTGAAAAATCGTATGGATTTATTCGAATAAGCTAATGGACGATGGATTTTTATATAAAAAAAAAAATTAATAATAATTTTTAACTATCTCAAATTGGAGACACAACATCTAAAAATCTAAATCTAAAAATATTTTATAATCTAATAACTATATCTATTAAGCTTCGGGTTTGCTGCACGCTCTATAAAGAAAGTGATTTTGAGTGATATTCATGTTGATTAAATTATTATTTCCACTTGCTCTTAAATAAATATTTTAATATCTAAAAAATATGTCTATGAAGCTTGGGGTTTGCTGCACATTCTATAAAGAAGAGATATTCATAATGTAAATAATGATTTAATCATTTGATTAAATTATTATTTACACTTGCTATTTTATCTTCAATCTTTTACTGGTTTAATCAATACTCAGTATACTCAGAGAACTGCAGTTTTGTAACTACCTTTTAAAACACGATTTTGTATATTTTTACAGAATGAAAATCTTAATTTCTACCTTACAACTGTTTGCGTCAATGCGACCAAGTATAATATGTCGCTAAATGTGTAATCGTCCGCAACTGTGAACATTAACGTTGGCGTTTGGAAGCGCGGGCGTATCGAACGGGCGTATAAATTTCTTTCGTCTGTAACTGCTCTATTTTACACAGGATGTGTTTTATTTGATATCTCCCACAGGACTTGCAATTCGAGTAACAGCCGCTTGCATCAAAATTCGTAATTGAAATTGCTTAATTCTGTTAAACACATCATTCTATCCACAGAAATCGTTGTTCAATTGTTTAAAGTTAAATAAAGAGACAACTTTGAATCAAATAGGCCTAGGCACACGCCTAGGTGTGTAGTTGTATACCTATTATAATAGATTTTTAATTTAAACAACTAGAAATTAGTAGATCCTCTTTTAACACCTCAGAATACTTGCAGTGGTATAGACAATAGTAAGCGCAGATATAGGTTGTTACATCAACTGAGATGGAGGAGTTTTCCTCATTTGATAAAACTTAAAATAATGCAAAACCACCATCGTTCCACCATAGATAATTTATCTTTACTTTGATAGTGGATTATCGGGTTTCTACTTATACAGCAATGATCTTGGATCGTAGTAGAATGCTTTTTCTTTGCAGCTCACATGTTCCCATCTACCTTCATCCGCAGAATATTTTATAAGAGGCGTGAAGAAGCAATATGCAAGTCGGCACGGTGAGGATGGCTGGTGGCAGGTAGAACTGCTGTACGAGCTTTTTTCGCATCTGCATTCCACCGTCACGTAATATCAGCGGAGGTAGAGAGAGATATCTGTCGGGTTTATTTATATTACAATGAAAGATTACTTATTAGCTTACTTAAGACGATGAAGATGAGATGGCGACAATAGTGCTGGTAATAAGAATTTCTTGTTCGAGAAAATGATATTAATAATTCCGCTTCCGAAACCAATTAATTCATAAAAATCATGTACAAATAGGTATTATTTATTAAAAGGTAAAATATATCAAGAAACTATTAACAAAGGTACTGAAGACGATAGTTTTTTTACGAATTCAACTAGAAGGTCAACAACAACAAATGTTAAATACCAGTTACCTAATTAGTTTTTCTTTGGTCTACTATTATCATTTTTCGCAGTAAATGTTTTTCTTTTTAATTTTCGTTTGTCCGCTGTGGCACTAGTCCATACAAAACTTCTTACCATTTGCCGCGTATCGAGATAGACTTCGATATTGGTTCGTGCTAAGAGCACTTTACATATTGGTAATAGTCTCTTCGGCAGTGTCGTGTGAAGCGGGTCGTTACGTTCCCTAAAATATGGTTGAGCGAAGCGATGGCTGGTTCATGCGTCATGCTCGTGAACGGGTGCTGCCAGCGGAGATTAGTCTGCCCTTACTTCCTTGATATTGAAGATGTTAATGTTTAGTTACACTTTATATAAATAACACTATTTGTATTTATACTGTAGGTATGACACAGCAATCAAAATGCAGGAAAACAATTAATGTATATTTAATATTTGAAAGGTGACTTCATAAATCATCTCTGAAGTAATTTTTCAATTAGTCGTAGATTTACGAACATTCTCGAGTGCTTGTAACTGCCTAAACTGAATAAATGATTTTGATTATGATTATTATGGTTAAAATAAATAATCAGCCTGTATAAAGTCATTTCTTAATTAACAGATCTACGGATGAACACTTACAATTCAAGTGTGATACGTTACTTACTGTTTGTATTAATTTTCATACGAATGTATCTATTATTAAACTGTGATTTGGGCATATAGGGTTATAGTTAGGTATATTTCGTATGTTGACCTCTCTTCTACGCGCTATCGGGATATCAAAATTAATTTAAATCTAAGACTACCTACAACACTGGCATTGCTAAGAGCAGAAATAAATCTTGTTTTATTTTATGATTACTCCAATATAAATACGGTCTGGGTGAGTAACCTTCACGCTAAGGGTCTGGGGAATGTTTTTTTTTTGAGTGTGTATGCTGTTGGTCGCAGATGACCTTTACAGCGTCACCGGGTTTGGGGGCGGCGAGATCCTGAGGGGACCTCAAGCCGAGAATTGGCGAGTGCCTCTAGTAGAGGTATTCCAGGCGGTAGCATCTCCCCGCGGGGGGAGTCTCCTCTGTTTCTGGAGCCTCTAGACCACTCAAACCTGAGCGGGTCTTTAAGCAAGGGCGTCGCCAGCTTGTGATTAAGGGGAGGGCAATGAGGCAAATTAATAGGTAAGGAAGTCAATTGCTCGCACTTTGGTCACTTTGCGGCTAGCTACATTTGATCTCTTGGAGGGGTGAGGGGGGGGGACTGCTCCCCCTTGGCGACGCCCTTGTCTATAAGCATGGCCCGGGGCGCCAGATTTTAAAATACGCCCCTTGTAGTTAAGTTAGGCAACGACGCAAGTACTAATTAATACACTTACTAATGGCGGTCGCTGACTAACAGGCGGGCTAGTTGCCACACATTCTATCATAAAGTTAATTTAGGTGTAAGTGATAACGATAGCCATAACATTCCCGTAGGCGATGGGCCCTGTGCATTGACGTTTTAATACGTCAGTGGTCTAGTGGCAAAAATAGCTAATGGCAGAAAAGTATGACGCTCCAGACATCCTCATCTTTGTGGCCTGAACCAAACTCCCTACCCTTTACAGCCGTGGAAGCATACTCACCAAAAGGAATATAGCACCACCTGAAAGTCTCAATCTATATTATAATACTGTAGTAATTTTACGAGGTGGAGATTAAGTACTTTTCCCGACGAGAATTTGGCTAAATATTCGTTACTTTACTCTCTCGATAGGCGCCAATAAAGACAAATATCTATAATCTTGGGATCCTTTAAAAGAGGCTTTGGCAGGTAGAACTGCTATTTGCGGGCAGTCTTCACAGGGTACCGCAACCCCACCCGCACCCCTGACCCGCAATACTGGGATTACGGTCCTAGCAATGCGGGTCGGGTGACACGGTGCAGGGATATTGTCTGGTTTTTAGTGGCCCTGTTCAGGGCGTAGGTAGGGCCCTGTACACTTCATCTGGCCTCAGGGCTGGCTGAAGAAGACAGGGAGGAGTCCCACATACCTTCTTCTCGCTCCCCCAGTGGTTGAGGATGCGTAAGGCATTTTCCAGACAAAAAAAAAGGTAGAACTGCTTGATCAGCTATCTTCGCGTCTGGACTTGACCTTCACTTAACATCAGGTTCGGTGGAGTCATATGTCGGACCTATATATTTAAAAAAATACATATATAGTTTTAAAGCAATAATAGCAATTTAGCTACTTCAACACGTGTAGTTATGTTTAATGCAACAATCCTTACCGAACTATTTTTAGAAAAGTACGATTTTATTTTTAAAGGATATCGGGTGGTGATATGTTATCATGATATCTATAAATAAACTTTATTTATTCAGACATTATCGGGCTTACTTCTTTACACACAGGAACATTTTCATTATTCGATTTTAAATGCTCAATATATTGGAGTTGTTAAAGCTGGTGTGTTAAGAATAATGCAGTGAAAATAGAGACTGGTAGTTAAGTATAGTTTTAACCTCTTTGGGAAAAAAATACAAAAAAAAATCTTTTGGACGTCGATAAAAGATACAAAACTGAAAATTCAAAAAAAATAACTTACATCTTTACATGATAAGTGGAGATCCAGTCGGGTTTTGGAATCATTTTTTGTATTTTCATAGGACAGAATATTAATAAAAAACGACAGTTGTTGTACTGTCCAATAAACAGACCCCTCTTTCCCAGTGGGCACTTTGAGCAAGTGCCCAGGGCCCCGCGATCGATAGGAGCCCCCCTCAGATTAATTACAAAGTCCCTAGTTCCTGTTAAATCACCAAACGTGGGTCATAGGGGCCCCATTATCCTTATGTGCCCAGGGCCTCCAATAGGTCAAAGACGCCACTGACAATAAAAATACAATAAAGGTCCTGTAATGAAAAAAAATGTCTATCTGAATTATAATAATTTTATTTACTATCTATCAAATGAAAATATACAAAGAAATTATTGAAACGACAAATATTTATACAAAAATAACACTTTATTGTAGTAACATAAAAGGAGTGATTGTCTTTCAGAAAACCGTAAGTAAACCGTAACTATCCTAAATAATATGAAATTATGAAAATTGCTAATGCTTATTTAGGTACTTAAGAGTTTGGCATTGAGTTCTTAATTTACATACAAAAATATTATGCATGTAATATAAAATGTGTATGCATCCGAATATTTTTACCTATATTACGCTCGATTTAAATATTTTTTTTTTTTAATTCCGAACACCTCACCTCATTTTTTAAAATTAAGAGTAGAATAGCTTTTGAATGTAAACAAAAATAAAAAAAAACAAATGTATGTATTTATCTTTATTGTAAGAATTTTTTGGTGTTATAATTTCAAGTTAACAGTATATATTTGCTTCTTAGGTTTTCACGCACATCACTCATTAAATAAAACTAGTTTTTACGGGTTAATGCACGAAACTTTATTTATTTATTGACGTTAACTGACTCATTCTGACGATGCAGACCTGAAAAGGCTGCGAAACGTCAATAAATAAATAAAGTTTCGTGCATTAACCCGTAAAAACTAGTTTTATTTAACAGTATATTCCATTCATATTGCGTATAACCTATTTATTCCACTTATAAATAAAGACGTACTGAATCAGTAACATTGTATTCATACATAGCTGTGATCCCATGGTTTTATTTTTTCTTTTTAATTGACTAGCTTGTGACACCAGCCAAACTTGAGATACTATAGAAATGTTTTGATTTCTACTTAGACCCGACCGGGAACCAAATCAGGATCTCAGAGATGGCGGCGAAGCCAAATCCCAATTTACCATTTATCCTTTACTAGGGAATCAATGAATTTCGTCCATCTTATTTCGAATTCATGCACCACCTTATCTTTGTCTTTGACAGTGCTGTAGTACAAAGAGTTAAGAGCTAGTTTCTTCAATAGCTTCAAGTCAGCGTGACGGCTGGCTACACCTAAGAAGGTAACGAAAAAGTCGTGAGATAAAGGATCAGCTTCCCACACTCCTGGATCGTCACTCGACAAAACTACAGGCAAATCTCGAGCCAGGAAAGATGCTAAAGGATGATTTCTCATATCGCCCACCAACTTCAACACTGTGTTCGATAGAACGTTCACTTCTAATGCTATTCCTCTTCTTTTCACCTCTTCCATCAGGTAAGGATGTTTAGTCAGAGCGAAAGCATGACCGATCCTTTTCGTGCCTAAAGCGATGGCATCATACATATTCTCGTCGGAGCTCATGCCGTTCCAGTTAGTTTCACCAGCATGGAAGAAATAATCTAAATCATCTTTGGCATGCACCAACTCTAATAGAAATTCCTTTGTCGGTACTCCCAGATCTTCCTGACCAACCAGATCAAAACCAGCCAAAAAATCGGGCATTTTCTTTTTTATCTTCTTTGCTGTCTTTATGTATTGTTTCACTGTACTAGCATCAACCATTCTTAAAGGTGCGTATATAAGTTTTGCCCCGTAGAAATCTGGATAGTCTTTAACGAATCTATCAACAGTTATCTTGTAAGATTCTGCTGTTTCAACGGAATCGTACACTTTACCATTCAAATCATACAGTGGAGGTAAAACACTACGTATCTCCATATACATTATATTATCTTCTCTCACCGCTTTCAATGTATCATAAAAGTATTGCTCCCATACAGGTTTGTAAGAAAACATTGAACCCGTGGTTATAAAATATTGTTGGAACCTACTCCATACTACATTGATGTCAGTGTAGATTTCATGAGGGTCATCGATGACAATAGTGAAATACTTTCTCAACTCAGCATCAAATTCTTCCACATCGACCGAAGAATAACGAGCATCATGCATCAATTGCCATTTAGTTCCGCAAGACTCCTTAGGTATATTATCAGAGAACAAAAGTTGCATAGTGTCTTCCTCGAAGCAAACGTATAGGTTTTCCATATAAGTGATATTCAAAACATAATCAGGACTCAGTAGACCGGTGTCATGAGCATGAAGGATAGCACCTTTTGGCATTTTTTGAATTATTTTATACAAAGCTGACTCTTTAACTGCATCTTTGTATTCAAAGAAATGTTTAGACAAGTTGAATATGTGAGGACTTTGGAAACCAAAATCTAACTCCTTGCACTTCAGATCCATTATGATCTCGTTGGCTTTCAGTTCATTATCACTGAGTGTTATATCATTTCCGAGCATCATGTCCAATTCGCGCTGTATGAAGTCATTCCTTTCGTCAAGCACATTTTCGTATTCAGTTTTAGACACAGCACAACTAACGACCAACAAAAAATACACTAACGTTGTCCACATTTCACTTTGTTATTATTTGCATATACGAAGCACAATACCTTTATAAGTGTCGATATTTGGAGCAAGGTTGAAAACTAATGAACAGTTCGTGAATTATAGATAGAAGCAGGTAGAACTGTTTTTTTTATCAATCGTCTGTTAAAGGCAATTGGCTACGTTTTTTCTTACAATCTGATATTGATAAAGCTACACATGATGATTATCTTTACGTCACTCGTTTTTTATACAAGAAATATTTAATTTGTGTTTTGCATGAGCGATTTTCGTATGAAATAGTTTCATCGAATGACAAATAATAAATTACATAAAAAAAACAATTTAACTATGTATTTCTAGTAACCCAGAGAGAGTATCCGTTTATTATCATACCTAGACTAGATTTTTTGCTAATATGAATCTGAAATGAAAATAAAAGAGAAAACTACAATCACGATGGTAAAATTAAAAAATTTAAGTGAATCATTACGCAACTTAATAAAAACCTATATTACTTCCACAGTTAACTTCCTAACCATATTATTTGAAAGAAACACAAAATATTATAGCACATACGCCAGCAAAAAAGCTTTAGAACTTATTGCGTTTTTAATACGAGAGTACTTATTTAAATAAAGATTTGAAGTATCACGAAATGTAAAACGTACGGGTTTTGTTTTTAATATTACCAGTTTGCAGTTTCAAAGAAATACTATAATTAATATTGTGATCAATCGCATCTTAAAACCGCAGAGGTTTGAATGTTTGGAGACACTAAAAGACAGCACAATTATTTTAAGTTTTCGCCAAATAATCATACTATAAAGTACATACATACACCATTTATTGCTTTATTCCCCGTTTTTAGGGATGAAACGATACCATCTAGGTATCGATACTTTTACTTGATACTGTATCGGTCATAAAGTATCGATGCCTACTCGGTATCGAATGAAAAGCATCGATACTAACTTGTATCAATAAATTTTGACGAACGATATTACAATTACAAATTCAAAATAAAATAACGGCTCACGCCATGCGATGTACGTATGACTGACTGAATAAATTGGAATAAATATAAATCTTACGCACGGCTGCTAATTGAGCAATAGAAAAGATGTGGTCACGAAACAAAAATTCCAACTAGACACCTTACCATAGAGTAAATAATCTTCCTATGAGTTTTTTGATACTTCTCAGTGAGTGACCGACCAAGTACCGATACAAGTACTTACTTTACGATACTACTTGTTACTCAGTTCTAAAGTATCGATGCCAAAAGTACTTGGTATCGAAAGAAAAGTATCGAGTAATTACTTATATTTACTAGTATCGTACCATCCCTACCCGTTTTAAACTAAAATCGCTTTCGTTTGCCATAAGTGAACACCATGTTTTTATTTTGGAATAATCTGAATTAACGCCTTCCTCAATATTTCATATTAAACATCATCAGACTTTAAAATGTACTATTGGTATTATACCGCTATCGCTATTAATGTAGCTTATTCAGATAAAAGACTGGTATAATATAGCGATATATAAGATTATATTATAATCAGGTATATCTATATGGAAAGAACTAACCTGAAATTGTTACTAAGTAAATTTTATGTGATAAGCTCGCGTTTAAACAACATTATAAATCACAATAAGATTAAAGGTAAATAATGTATCGTTATCTGATTAAATAAATAATATATAATATATCGATATCTCTCTGAACAATTCATAATTCATACGAAATACGAAAGTAAATGATAACGTTAAATTATTTAACTAAAAATCTACAGTGATACTTTATCTTGAAATGCTTTGAATAAGAACACGTAAATAATTAATGCAAAAGAGGGGAAAAAAAATTGGTCTAGTTTTATGAAACCACGACCCAAGTAAAACTTTTAATATTATTAATAAAAAAAAGTCCTTTTCTTGGCTGGGATTCAAACCCGAGTCGCCCACGTAGCAGGCGAGCTTTCTACCACTGAACTACCGATGCTTATTAATAACATTTGATTTTTTAATAATAATCTAAAATGTAATGCGACATGCTAAATATGACCGAAAAAAGTGTGGGGATGTTATGAATGATTTACTTTAAAAATAAATTTATTTATTAATCAAAGGATATATGTATAGTTAGGTATGTAGGTATTCACCATTAATTATAAAGGGGCTGGCAAAGATGGACACCTATTCCCAGCATTGCCAGATTTTTTTTAGCCAAGTTAGGATTTAGGCACTTTTTGAGTGAAAAAAACGAAAGTATCGATGCCTACTCGGTATCGAATGAAAAGTACCTATCAATACTTACTTGTATCAATAAATTTTGACGAACGATATTACAATTACAAATTCAAAACAAAATAACATCGATACTCTTTCGTCGAAAGCGGGACATAGTGAAAAAAACGATCGAGAGTTTTTGAATATTTATTTTAATAAAAATAGGATGTGTGTCTTTATTTAAGAGTTCTTCATTACGCGCCGGGCAGGTGGTCAGTACGCTGCACGCACGGTCGAATTATTCCCGAAAAGCGGGATTGAGCCTGTCCCGCGCGGGACATTTAATTTTGATTTAAAAATCGGGACGTCCCGCCAAAATCTGGATGTCTGGCAAACGCTGGTCAACACATCGACAGTTTGTATGTCGATCATTTACAAAGGCCCAAACACGAATTTTGACAGATCCGTAAAAAAACTAGTTTGTTCTTAGTTGCTTAGTTTTCGTACAAATTTTGACGATGCGATACAATTACAGAGTTGTCAAAATTCGTATTGTAAGCCTCTGAACGAAGTCAACAAGGGATCCTTAGCATTTCACTGAGTCTGTCCATCCGTCCGTCCTGTCCAGACGGACAGGACTAGGCTAGAAAACTATTTCCTAACTCAACCAATTATGAAAACGGATAAAATATTCTTATTTCATAACCAGTTAAGAAAAATTAAATAAAAATTCTTCTTTTAAAGTAAATAAAAACACGTTAAAAAAAAACAAAATCATACCCCGAAAAATACTTAAAGTTTTCTATGAGCACTTTCTGGTGGGCAAATACCAAATCCGGCTCGAAGGACCATGTTTCTGATCCTTAGGGAAGAAATTAGCAATTGAATAAAAATATATGTCTTGAAATAAAATAATTGTATTTTCTTGAGTTTTTATCAACAGAAAATTAAGTCTCCATAGTGACAATATAATAACATGACACAATGAAAAGGAGTAGATAAAAATGACCATAAACATACCGCCCGCCAAAGGACGTATTTTTTACGTACTTTAAAACCTAACATTAGATACAACTTAAATAACTTAAACTAAATAAAGAAAGTGTACTGTGTGGGTACTTGAACAAAATATAACAGAAAATCTATAAAAGATGTCCAACCTGACAAAAAATCAAATTAATGTTAATGAACTAAACCTTAGATCTATTTACAATTAGCTTAATTATTAGGGTTAATAGGTAATATACACAACTTAGATGTGGGTCGTTTTAACAAAGACCCTTTCACTCGTAACGTGACCACTCGGGTGATATTGTCATGACCTGGATGTTTTTCTAAGACTCTACCAAGTAACCACCGACAGGGAGGTAAATCACTTTCCTTTATGAGGACTACATCACCTATTTTTGGTTCTGGTGTTTGATATTCCCATTTGTACCTATGTATAAGTGTAGTCAGGTACTCCTGAGACCACCGTTTCCAAAATTCCTGTACTTGCCTTTGAATTAACTGCCATCTATGCAAGGGACTGATATAGGTGTTGATATAATTTGGATCAGGGACAGTAGTCAACGCTTCTCCTATTAAAAAATGACCAGGAGTCAATGGTAACGGCTCGTCAAGATCATTCGGGTTAATAACGGTTATCGGCCTAGAATTTAAGCATGCCTCGATTTGGCATAGTAATGTACTCATTTCTTCAAATGTTAATAAAGTGTTGTCACCCAGTACACGCTTGAGGTGAAATTTTGTCGATTTAACGGCTGCCTCCCACAACCCACCGAAATTTGGCGAATGAGGGGGTATAAAATGCCACTCAGTGCCATTTCCTTCGATTTGTTTGGCTATGTCAGGTTGTATTCGGGCCAATTCTTGTAGTTCTCGTGCTGCGCCTATAAAGTTTGAGCCATTGTCGCTCCATATCTGAGAACAATGACCACGTCTGGACACGAACCGTCTAAATGCAGCTAAGAACGCTTGTGTGCTTAAATCGCTAGCAACTTCGAGATGTATTGCTCGAGTAGTCATACAAACGAAAATGCATATATAGCCTTTATATGAGCGATGCCCCCGGCCCTTACTGGTCCGAATATTAATAGGACCTGCGTAATCTACCCCACTGTGAATAAATGGCCTAGCTGGAGTGCAACGTACAGAAGGTAAGGAACCCATCAGTTGATTCTTTACTTTGATATTGTTCTTTATGCATATTATACAATTTCTGATGTGTTGCTTCACCAGACTTTTTATTTTAATGATCCAGTAAGCTGATCTCAAATAATTGATCATTAACTGATTACCACCATGTAATGTCCGTTCGTGGGCGTCAGTGACAATAAGTTTTGATAAATGTGAATTGTGAGGAAGTATTATTAGGTGTTTGGTTTGATGTGGCAGCAAAGACTGTTGTATTCTACCATCAACTCTGATTATATCTTCCTCGTCAATATAAGGACACAATGATCTTATTTTAGAATTCTTTTGTAATTGTTTGTTTCCTTGTAATCGTAAATATTCTTCTTGAAACTCTTTTTTCTGACAAGCTCTAATGCAACATTTTAATGCTTCATCTAATTCTTTCTTTTTCAGATAATTCGTTGTTACAGGATTCTTCTTGGAATATATAAAACGCCTGCAAAACGCTACAACCCGTAGAAGCTTTCTTAATGAAGAATATTTGACCCATACCGATTCTCCTTCATTGGTTACTAAATGCGATTGGACGCGTTCTTCTAAATTGACACCCTGAATATCAGGTCTATTGTATGTGATATTTTGATCCCACAAAAATTGTGGTCCTTGTATCCAAAGTGTATTTGTCAGTAGAGATTTCGGTTCTAGTCCTCTCGATGCACAATCAGCGGGATTATCTTGAGATGAGACATGAGACCACTGTGTAGAATCTAGACTCGTTAGTATTTCCGAAACACGGTTGGCTACAAACGTCTTCCAA